CTGCATGCACATACCATGTAATAAGAACAACATTTCCAGAGGAGTAATCTTCATACACTGGATTTGAAACTGAAGATGTTGAATGATGGACAGCTCATAGACATTAATTGAACATTGTTTCATAGTTAAATAAACTGGAATATTTATATCTCTGAAGTTCTCATTTTGCTTCTTTAGATTACCTTCTGATTTTTTGGGCATGTGGTCACATTTTTGTGTCCTTTCATAGGCTGCTGGCATGTGGAACAGTAGCGGGGCTTTCCTTTAGTGGCCTGTGGTGGCTGCTGGATTCCATGAGTCTCTGTAACTTAAAACAAATGATGTTTGTGTGATAAGCCATGCATTTGACTGGGATTCAGGGGATAATAAAGTGAGCCATTGAAGTCTTAAAAGTGCCCAACAATCTCAGCTGCAGGGTCAAGTGACGATTGGTCATACTTCCTCACCCGTTGAGTCGACTATGTTGCGGCGACCAATGTCACAGGCAAAAACAAAGTAATTCAACTACTCGAATGCTGCGATGAACAGCTTCGCAAAGACCTCACACAAAACGCAGGTGGCTCCCTCACCAACAAGACTGCTGATGAAGTTATGGAGGCCATTAAAAAACTTGCCGTGGGGGAGGAGAACACAATGATTGCCCAGGTTCAATTGCACAACATGCGCAGGACCGGGACAAGACGATTCGTAGTTTTGGTGCCCACCTTTGCGGCCAAGCTGGCGTCTGCAAGTTTCTAGTCACCTGCCCTGGTTGCACTAATGAGGTTAATTACCTGGAGAATGTTTTGCACGATGTCCTAACACGTGGCCTGGCTGACAGTGAAATTCAACTAGAACTGCTAGGAGAAAGGAATCAAGACATGACCCTTGAAGAAGTCTTCCAATTTATTGAGGCAAAAGAGGCTGGAAAAAACAATCCACTGGGCACCTGTCACAAAGCCTAGGTGTAGATGCTGCAAGTAGCCAATACCCTCGTGCCAAACAGGATGGCATCAAGCAACGCAAAGTTGGAGACAACAATGATTTGTGCTCCTACTGCAACAAGCGTGGCCATGGCAAGAGCGCCCTGACCAGGATACGAAGAAATGACTGCCCCGCTTATGGCACAAGCTGTGACCAGTGTGGGCAACCGAACCATTTCACTAGCATGTGTCATGACAAGAGCAAGTCCACCAGACCCCAAAAGCCTACCCCACCCAGTGGCAATACTACAGAAGGTGCCATCTTTGACTCACTCTGCACTGCAACAAGCCTCGCCCATTATCCTGGTAGAGATGTCATCAAACTTGACCACCCCCTCTACTGCCACCTAACTGACTGTTGGGTCCAACAGCCATTAAAGTCCCAACCATTTATTACACTAACAGCAACTGCCCACCCTGAAGACTACACAGCACTGGGATACAACCCCCCACATCGCGGCTGACACCAGTACGACTCTCTGCCATGGCCGACACGAGCTGCCAGAGCTGCTTACCTAGCATCAAAGTCGTCTGTCACCCTGGCATGAGTAAGAGAGATCTGATACCGGTCACCATGCAAATGCACACTGTGAACAACAATGGTATCAAGATCCTGGGTGCTGTCAACCTCAAGTTTTCAGGCAGGTCTCCATCCAGTGCAACCCTTGAAAGTTGACAAACTGTGTATGTGATGAGCGACTCGGACAAACTCTTCCTGAGCCGGGAGGCCTGCACGGCACTGGGCATGATCACTCAGAACTTTCCCACTGTGGGCGAGACCATCCACACATGCAGCACAACCGAGCCAGACAGAGCATGTGATGCAACACCCCCAGACAGTGCAACATACATGCCTAAGAGCACATCCAGCTCACCGTGCACCTGCCCGTGTCGTGAAACACCACCACCCAGCCCACTGAACTCCCATTCCCAGCGACCGAAGGCAACTGGATGAAACTGCAACAGTGGCTTCTCGACTATTACTGAGCCAGCACCTTCAACACATGTGAACACAAGTCACTACCGCTGATGGAGAGCGTCCCCATGAGGCTAATGGTCAACCCCGGTGTGGAACCGGTTGCACATCACACTCCCATACCCGAACCGCTCCACTGGCAAGAGGAAGTCAAGGCAGGACTTGACCAAGACATAGGGGAGCCTGTCACGTGGTACCACCGCATGGTCATATGTGCAAAGAAGAACGGCAAGCTTCAACACACAGTTGACTTCCAGGCGCTTAACCTTCATGCCACAAGTGAGATGCACCACACGCAGAGCCCCTTCCATCGAGCCTGCTCTATACCCAGTAACACAAAAAAGACTGTCTTTGATTGCTGGAATGGCTACCACAACGTCTTGCTCCATGCGGATGATCGCCACCTCACCACATTCATAACTCCATGGGGTTGATACCACTACATAACAGCACCCCAGGGTTACATTGCCTCTGGTAGTGGCTACTCGAGATGGTTCAGTGATATTGTCTCTCACATCCATGAGAAAACTAAATGCATCAATGACACCCTCCTTTGGGCAGATGACCTTCACAAGAGCTTTTTCCAGGCTGTTGATTGGCTCGACCTCTGCGGATACAATGGAATAATACTTAACCCAGACAAGTTTGTGTTTGGAGCCGATACTGTGGAGTTCGCAGGCTTTGAGATCACCCCAAGCATTGTGCGGCCATGCAAAAAGTACTTCGATGCCATTCACGATTTCCCAACACCAGCCACCATAACCGATGTCTGCTCGTGGTTTAGACTCATCAACCAGGTCTCGTATGCCTTTGCCGCTACTGAACGCATGCTGCTGCTCCGCCAGTTACTCCAGCCGGGAACCCCCTTTAAGTGAACTGATAAGCTCAACCAGCTCTTTGAAGAATCTAAGTCGGTGATCATTAGTGAAACTGAGGAAGGCGTGCGCATCTTTGACAAATCGAAACCAACCTGCCTATCAAACGACTGGTCTAAAAGTGGCATCAGTTTCTGGCTATTCCAGAACCACTGCCAATGTTAATCCACCACACACTTCTGCTGTTGCACTGGCTGGAAAATCACACTTGTCGGCAGCCGCTTCACCCATGCCGCCGAATCTCATTATGCCTCAGTAGATGGAGAAGCTCTTGCCGTCGCAGATGCCCTTGATAGAGCTTGATTCTTTATCCTGGGCTACAGCAACCTAATCATCACTGTGGATCACAAACCCCTACTTAAGGTGTTTGGCAACCGATCCCTTGACAAGATCACTAATGCTAGGTTATGCAACCTCAAGGAAAAGACATTACGTTACCGGTTCCGAATGGTACACATACCTGGCGTTTGACACAAAGCTGCTGATGCCGTTTCCTGCCACCCTACAGGAACCACTCTGCCGGACATGCTGGTCTTACCAGATGACGTAGCAGCGGCCACAGCTGCTAACTATTCTACCCCAATTAGACACCTCTGGACACTCATTCTTGGCCAGCATCCGCCATAGTGAGCCATGAGTAGGTACATGCTCCATCACCATCAATGACCAGTTAGCATCATCAGCCTCCTCAGCACTGAGCACAATGGCAGTCACATGGGACAGGGTCAAACTAGCTACAACAAGCAATGGGGATATGACTCAGCTACTTGACATCATAGAGAGCGGATTTCCCGAATTCCACCATGAGCTACCACCTGCCCTTCGGGAGTACTATCAGTTCCATGAACACTTATACACCATTGATGGCATAATCCCCTACAAGAATCGCATAGTCATACCACCCTCCCTCAGNTATGAACTGGTGTTTGCTTTGAGGTGTCGTTTCGTGTTTTGAGTTTTTGAGTTGTGCAGTCATGGCCTCCGATACCGATGATACCGCTGTTACCAAATTTACCGAGGAAAACGCCGAACAAACAGGACTAGGTGGAGTTGAGAAAAAGAAAGAAACGGACATTCTGTTATTACAGATAAAGAAGCGAAAGCGTACCGAAAAAACAAAAGTCACGAAACTCCGACATGAGCTGGAAAGAGTTTGTCTTAAAGATTCCGAGTTACCGGTCATCGAAAGCGTGATTGAGCAGCTTTGGACAGCCCTGGAAAATGCACAGGAAACTTTGGAGGAACTGACTGCGTTCTATGTCAAGGTCGGAGATGAATCTGGAAAAAACGAAGCCATTGAAGAGTCGGAAACTATCGAAAAAGAAGTACAGAGACCGATTGAAGCTGGGCAAACTGTAATAAAGGCTCGCGCGCGCAAAACCGTAGATACAAGCCAGCCGATTAGCGTGAACAGAACGGATAGCTACGACCTGCAGGCTGCCCAGCAGTATCAGCTGAACGAGAGTAACGGAAATCACGATGACCGAAGCCGATTTTTGAAGCCGTTAAAGGTCCCGACGTTCAATGGTGACAAACACAAGTTTGAAGATTTTTGGGCTCTCTTTACAAGTCTAGTAGACGAGTCAGCGGAGCCAGCGAATCTGAAAATGGCAAGACTACGACAATATCTGACGGGGAATGCGTTGGAAGCCGTCCGCGGTTTAGGAGTCTCAGCTCCAGAATACGAAGAAGCCAAAGAAATATTAAAAACAAAACATGGTGGCGCGCGCCGATTTCTGCGAGCCTACATGGATCAACTAGAACAGATGCCATTAATCAGAAGTAAAGATATTCACGCTCTGGAGAGGTTTGCAGACCTTGTGCGGATCACAGTGGTAAAACTACAGGTGGAAGGAAAAGACGGAGAGCTAGGTGACAGAACTCTTCATAGTCTACTAGTAAAGAAGTTGCCTGATTGTCAGCTAGAGAATTACAGCTGCTGGTTAAAGTCCCTATCATCTTGACTTAATATCTTTCTTTTTCAAAAGTAGATATAAAATAAACAAAAAAAAGCAGCAAAATAGGATTTGGAGTTAATCGCGATTTTTAAAAGCCGATCGAGATCATGGCTCTTGGAGTAAAAAACCCACCATACGGGGACTGGCACTAGTAAGTTGTGATGTCAACCCGGTATCTTGGCGATAACACACAACAAAACACAACAAAGAAATGTAGCAAGTTACGCGTGTTCTCCGGTTTTTCGGTCTTCTTCTTCTTCCAAAATGTTAGAGAGCAACTCCAATTCCGAAAGGAGCTACGATTCTGATGATTCAGAGTACAATTTTATCCCTGGCCACATCAACATTGGCAATATTGAAGTCGAAGACGATGAAAATTTAGGCGAAGAGCAAGTTTCCCAGCCAGACCCAGACAACTACAAACCCTATGAGGACAAGCCGATAGCAACTGAAGAGTGGCTTTCAGAATACAAAAAAAGGCAAGAAACGCAAGTTGAGTTTGAGCGAAAGCTCCAGGATTGTTACGATGGGAAACAACTCGTAAATTCGTGGTGGGTCAGACCTAGAGTGCAGTGTTTCTTGTATTGTTGTTTTTTACATCGATTAGTCAAGGCTTACTAACCGCTGGTTCCTCTACAGGTGCAAATGTGGTGCATGTAGTGCAGAGAATCTGCAGAACCCGAACGAATTCCAGTGCTGCATGGAAATAGAAGAGTGTGTGGAGTGTCTATCTAGTGAAAGGGTAATTGAAGAAGTAAGCACAAAGCTGAACTGTGTTACGCAGCATCCCAGATTCAGCCAAGTTTGCCTGCAAAAGTGGAGTTTGCGGTTGGCTGCTGATAAATACAAGACAAGAAATAAGACGAAGTATCATCAGACTGGAACGGAAAACAGGTAAATAGAAACTGTTTTATTAATTTGCCTGTTTGTACTCACTGAGACTAACACACTATTCTGATTGTGAAAATATTGAACTTTGTATGCTGTCCAAATTCTTGCACACTGCACTTTTGCATGTTTGTTGGCTTGTGTTCCTTTAAAACCTTTTTAGTCGACTTCTAGTTGTTACAAATTCTCCACTAAGATATACCTCATTATAATTATGTTGATCTCATCAATTTTACTTCCAGATTGAGTACATTTTCCCACAAAAATATTTGGAAAACTTTAATTAGGATTTGTCTCAGAAATTTTATTGCATTAAATTTATGGACAGATATTGGACAGAGTTGTCAGAAAATTTTCCATGCATGTCCATGCATGCATGCACTCTATCCAGAAAAATATCTCTTTCTACTGTACATACATATTTATATCCAAGAAACAAAACTGAGCTGGATACAAGTATTTTTTAATATAAATCATACAAAATACAAAATGAGCTAGAATGTAGAATTCTCTGTTGTGACACTACCCTTTCATCTAAATATTTTTTTTCATAATAGGTTTCTGCGTGGTATTTCCTATCGAGAATTTACTCGCCTTGTCCACGGATACTTAGGTGGGAGGAGGATACCTTTGCCTGCATGCACATACCATGCAATAAGAACAACATTTCCAGAGGAGAAATCTTCATATGCTGGATTTGAAACTGAAGATGTTGAATGATGGACAGCTCATAGACATGAATTGAACATTGTTTCATAGTTAAACAAATTGGAATATTTATATCTCTGAAGTTCTCATTTTGCTTCATTTAGATTCCCTTCTGATTTTTTGGGCATGTGGTCACATTTTTGTGTCCTTTCATAGGCTGCTGGCATGTGGAACAGTAGCGGGGCTTTCCTTTAGTGGCCTGTGGTGGCTGCTGGATTCCATGAGTCTCTGTAACTTAAAACAAATGATGTTTGTGTGATAAGCCATGCATTTGACTGGGATTCAGGGGATAATAAAGTGAGCCATTGAAGTCTTAAAAGTGCCCAACAATCTCAGCTGCAGGGTCAAGTGACGATTGGTCATACTTCCTCACCCGTTGAGTCGACTATGTTGCGGCGACCAATGTCACAGGCAAAAACAAAGTAATTCAACTACTCGAATGCTGCGATGAACAGCTTCGCAAAGACCTCACACAAAACGCAGGTGGCTCCCTCACCAACAAGACTGCTGATGAAGTTATGGAGGCCATTAAAAAACTTGCCGTGGGGGAGGAGAACACAATGATTGCCCAGGTTCAATTGCACAACATGCGCAGGACCGGGACAAGACGATTCGTAGTTTTGGTGCCCACCTTTGCGGCCAAGCTGGCGTCTGCAAGTTTCTAGTCACCTGCCCTGGTTGCACTAATGAGGTTAATTACCTGGAGAATGTTTTGCACGATGTCCTAACACGTGGCCTGGCTGACAGTGAAATTCAACTAGAACTGCTAGGAGAAAGGAATCAAGACATGACCCTTGAAGAAGTCTTCCAATTTATTGAGGCAAAAGAGGCTGGAAAAAACAATCCACTGGGCACCTGTCACAAAGCCTAGGTGTAGATGCTGCAAGTAGCCAATACCCTCGTGCCAAACAGGATGGCATCAAGCAACGCAAAGTTGGAGACAACAATGATTTGTGCTCCTACTGCAACAAGCGTGGCCATGGCAAGAGCGCCCTGACCAGGATACGAAGAAATGACTGCCCCGCTTATGGCACAAGCTGTGACCAGTGTGGGCAACCGAACCATTTCACTAGCATGTGTCATGACAAGAGCAAGTCCACCAGACCCCAAAAGCCTACCCCACCCAGTGGCAATACTACAGAAGGTGCCATCTTTGACTCACTCTGCACTGCAACAAGCCTCGCCCATTATCCTGGTAGAGATGTCATCAAACTTGACCACCCCCTCTACTGCCACCTAACTGACTGTTGGGTCCAACAGCCATTAAAGTCCCAACCATTTATTACACTAACAGCAACTGCCCACCCTGAAGACTACACAGCACTGGGATACAACCCCCCACATCGCGGCTGACACCAGTACGACTCTCTGCCATGGCCGACACGAGCTGCCAGAGCTGCTTACCTAGCATCAAAGTCGTCTGTCACCCTGGCATGAGTAAGAGAGATCTGATACCGGTCACCATGCAAATGCACACTGTGAACAACAATGGTATCAAGATCCTGGGTGCTGTCAACCTCAAGTTTTCAGGCAGGTCTCCATCCAGTGCAACCCTTGAAAGTTGACAAACTGTGTATGTGATGAGCGACTCGGACAAACTCTTCCTGAGCCGGGAGGCCTGCACGGCACTGGGCATGATCACTCAGAACTTTCCCACTGTGGGCGAGACCATCCACACATGCAGCACAACCGAGCCAGACAGAGCATGTGATGCAACACCCCCAGACAGTGCAACATACATGCCTAAGAGCACATCCAGCTCACCGTGCACCTGCCCGTGTCGTGAAACACCACCACCCAGCCCACTGAACTCCCATTCCCAGCGACCGAAGGCAACTGGATGAAACTGCAACAGTGGCTTCTCGACTATTACTGAGCCAGCACCTTCAACACATGTGAACACAAGTCACTACCGCTGATGGAGAGCGTCCCCATGAGGCTAATGGTCAACCCCGGTGTGGAACCGGTTGCACATCACACTCCCATACCCGAACCGCTCCACTGGCAAGAGGAAGTCAAGGCAGGACTTGACCAAGACATAGGGGAGCCTGTCACGTGGTACCACCGCATGGTCATATGTGCAAAGAAGAACGGCAAGCTTCAACACACAGTTGACTTCCAGGCGCTTAACCTTCATGCCACAAGTGAGATGCACCACACGCAGAGCCCCTTCCATCGAGCCTGCTCTATACCCAGTAACACAAAAAAGACTGTCTTTGATTGCTGGAATGGCTACCACAACGTCTTGCTCCATGCGGATGATCGCCACCTCACCACATTCATAACTCCATGGGGTTGATACCACTACATAACAGCACCCCAGGGTTACATTGCCTCTGGTAGTGGCTACTCGAGATGGTTCAGTGATATTGTCTCTCACATCCATGAGAAAACTAAATGCATCAATGACACCCTCCTTTGGGCAGATGACCTTCACAAGAGCTTTTTCCAGGCTGTTGATTGGCTCGACCTCTGCGGATACAATGGAATAATACTTAACCCAGACAAGTTTGTGTTTGGAGCCGATACTGTGGAGTTCGCAGGCTTTGAGATCACCCCAAGCATTGTGCGGCCATGCAAAAAGTACTTCGATGCCATTCACGATTTCCCAACACCAGCCACCATAACCGATGTCTGCTCGTGGTTTAGACTCATCAACCAGGTCTCGTATGCCTTTGCCGCTACTGAACGCATGCTGCTGCTCCGCCAGTTACTCCAGCCGGGAACCCCCTTTAAGTGAACTGATAAGCTCAACCAGCTCTTTGAAGAATCTAAGTCGGTGATCATTAGTGAAACTGAGGAAGGCGTGCGCATCTTTGACAAATCGAAACCAACCTGCCTATCAAACGACTGGTCTAAAAGTGGCATCAGTTTCTGGCTATTCCAGAACCACTGCCAATGTTAATCCACCACACACTTCTGCTGTTGCACTGGCTGGAAAATCACACTTGTCGGCAGCCGCTTCACCCATGCCGCCGAATCTCATTATGCCTCAGTAGATGGAGAAGCTCTTGCCGTCGCAGATGCCCTTGATAGAGCTTGATTCTTTATCCTGGGCTACAGCAACCTAATCATCACTGTGGATCACAAACCCCTACTTAAGGTGTTTGGCAACCGATCCCTTGACAAGATCACTAATGCTAGGTTATGCAACCTCAAGGAAAAGACATTACGTTACCGGTTCTGAATGGTACACATACCTGGCGTTTGACACAAAGCTGCTGATGCCGTTTCCTGCCACCCTACAGGAACCACTCTGCCGGACATGCTGGTCTTACCAGATGACGTAGCAGCGGCCACAGCTGCTAACTATTCTACCCCAATTAGACACCTCTGGACACTCATTCTTGGCCAGCATCCGCCATAGTGAGCCATGAGTAGGTACATGCTCCATCACCATCAATGACCAGTTAGCATCATCAGCCTCCTCAGCACTGAGCACAATGGCAGTCACATGGGACAGGGTCAAACTAGCTACAACAAGCAATGGGGATATGACTCAGCTACTTGACATCATAGAGAGCGGATTTCCCGAATTCCACCATGAGCTACCACCTGCCCTTCGGGAGTACTATCAGTTCCATGAACACTTATACACCATTGATGGCATAATCCCCTACAAGAATCGCATAGTCATACCACCCTCCCTCAGAGAGCATGTTTCGAAAGTCTTATACTAAGCACACCAAGGCGTGACCTCCATGCCTGCACGCGTCGAAAACACCGTCTTCTGGCCAGGCATCACTTGTGCCATCATTGCTCTACACGAAACCTGCAACCATTATTACTGCATGGCACCATCCCAACCAAGTGCACCGCCCTCACCAACTGTGCCCCCAGCATACCCCTTCCAATGCATCTGTGCCGACTTCATCACAAAGGGGTCAACTACCTTGTCGTGGTAGATCACTACTCCAACTGGCCCATTGTCGAACGAGCACGGGAGGGATCTAAAGGACTGATTGACTGCTTGTGGTGCACATTTGCCACATTTGGCATCCCTGACGAATGTGCGACAGATGGTGGGCCTCAATTTACCGCTGCTGCCACATGCCAATTTCTGAAGGAGTGGGGTGTAGATCACCGTCTGTCATCAGTGGTGTTCCCATACTCGAACTGCAGAGTGGAGATCACTGCAAAGACAGTCAAACAGATCATCACTGACAACACTACACCAAATGGCAGCCTTGACACCGACTCCCTGCAGCGTGCCATCCTTCAATATCGAAAGACACCAGATCCTAATGCACAGCTCTCCCCTGCACAGTGCGTATTTGGCTGGCCGATCAAGGATTTTATACCTATCCTGCCTGGCAGCTACCAACCACAACCTACATGGAGTGACACCCTAGCCATGAGAGAGGAAGCCCTCAGAAACCGCCACATGAAAGCTGCCGAGAGATGGTCGGAACACACCAAGAGACTCCCACCCCTGGCAGTTGGCAACCATGTACGAATCCAGAACCAGACTGGACCATACGCCATTAAATGGGACAAGACAGGCGTGGTGGTCGAGGTCTGCCAGTGTGACCAGTACGTTGTGCATGTTGACGGCTCTGGCAGGATGACCATCTGTAACCGGAAATTCCTCAGAAAATACATCCCAGTGCAGACCAAAGCCCCAAGACTTACTATCGAAGATGACCTACAACACCTCAACCTGCTGCCCCCCAGACCAAACAAACAACTCAACACCAATCCACCACCAGCAGCGCTGCCACCTCCATGACGATCTGACAAGCCACAGAGTTGTCCAGACCTTACCAGCCCAAACCCAGAGGGGTGTACACCTCAGCAACCACCTCCCAACATGCCACCGGCCAACCCTACTGCGAATGCATCAGTAGCCGCAAGTCCAGGTCCACCACCCATCCACAAAACACTGTCCCCTTCTCCAGTGGATGCATCAGTGCTGGCAAACTCGGGTACACCCCCAGCGTGGCCAAAGAAATCCCCGCTAGCCTTGCGGCAGCTACAAGATTACAACACAAAAGGACTTCTTGAACAATGAGACAGTCAAGTGACACATGAATGACATTCTTTTTCCTAGTTTTGTTTTGTTCTTTTAAGGTTACTTCAAACCTTCACGGGAGTCCTACAGAAAAACATTTGTACGCGTGC